AGCTTCTGCTGATGGCCAGCAATCCTTGGTGTTCCTTGGAGCATCTTCACCTCTCAGTCTCTGTGTATCTTCTGTTTTATAAGGACACCAGTCATATAGGCTTAGTCCCCACCCTGCCCTAGTGTGACCTCAAGTTATCCTAACCGATAACATCTTCAAAGACCCTATTTCCAAACAGGGTCACATTCACAGGTATAAGGGTTAGGACATTAACATATCTTTGGGGGGGACACAAGGCAATCCCTAACTGTATGTTAGACACCGATAAGTGTTAAGAAAAAAATAAAGTAGGGAAGGGGGTTAGGAAGTTACAGATGTAACAGTGTGTTTGTGTGTATGTGTTGTCTTTGTGTTTGGAATTTTAGATATGGAGGCCAGAGAAAGCTCATCGAGAAGGGTGGTATTTGAGTAAAGCTCTGAGGAAGAAGAGATATGTCAAACTAGATATTTGTACCTATAGTTAGTTGCTTGGCATTCTATACAGCATTTACATATTAAGGAGGCAGTTCAGACTGAAAATTAACAAAGATACCATTTGGGTCTTTGACGTGACTACTCACCTAATGTAATTAAGTGTGGAGCAGGGGGAAGGGGGCGGAAAGTGAAATCCATGGCTTTTTATAAGGTGGTGATATTACTGTAGGCCTCTTGATGGTGCAGATATTAAGTGAATCACCCACTTTGTTTGGGCTTGTCAATATTTCTTCCTAAGCTGATTCTCTTCCCAGCACCAATTTAGATTGTTCTGGGCAGGCAACAACAGAAGGATGATTCCAGAAGTATTCCCATCTTTGCTTCAAAATGCAATTGTTGTTTCGCTTAGCAACAACCTGATTTGCTAACCTATTGCCATAGAAATAGAATGCAAAATATATAAGCAGCCTAGTCTTACCTTTTATTTTTTAAAAACTTCTTTTTTTTTCTTTTTCTCTGTATTTGTCATTTCACAGACCCTAACTTGTCCCAGGCTCTGTTCTACTTTTTCTGATAATCACATAGATAATTCTTAGTCCTTATAGACCAGGCCATTCTGCTACTCGCTGTTCGGCTTCACCGCAAACCTGCCTTTTCAATTAATGTATTTATCTTATAGGAATAGAAAGAAGACAGAGAGAGAAAAAGAAAAAAAGAAACAGTTGTCCATGTGATGGTTTTATTTAAATCACATTGGTCTTATTAAAAGTCCTTTTGTTTTTTAATGTGACAACTTAGTAACAGGAGTCAACTTATGTACCTAATAATCTTTTCAAAGAGAATAGTCTTTTGATATTTTACATTCCTTGAGCAGCCTTATTGAGATTTGTATATTCTTCGCTCTGCCCTGGGGCGAACTCCTCTCAACCAAAAATAAACTGACACCGACTTTAAATATTTCGTTTTAGCACCTGATTTAAAAAAAAAAAAAGTTCTCATCATATTTTCTATAGCCTGATTAATTAATTAAGTAAATAATTACTGAGCATCTACTACAATCCATGCCAGATATTGCTAAGACAAGGGATAGAGCAATTAAAGTCCCTGTACTCAAAGAGCTCAAAGTCCAGAGGGCAATGTAGACAAGCAAATGGGCAAGCAGGGTACAGCGACAAGTACATGATGGAGTGAGGGCAGGGGGCCTTGGAAGCACAGCAGACCAGCACATAACCCAGCTTTTGAGGGTTATGTGGTTGCTTCCTGGGGCTTGGTTTTGAAGGATGAGGGAGAATTAGCTAAGTTTGACTGAACATTGATGAGAGAGGAGGTTGGACATAGAAGCAGTGATAAGATCCTGGCGGGCATTTGTGCTGTGGTCAGGAGCGTAGATTTTATCCCAGAAGCAATGAGGAGAAAACAAAGCAGAAGCAGTGGTACTAACATGGAAGGCTCACTTTGGAACTGTGTACTTTGGAAAGCTCTGTCATCTCTTGTAGAATGAATTGGGGAACGGGGCCACAAGAAAGTAGGGGGCAGGAAAACCAATTAAGAGTCCACAGCATTAGTACAGAAGTAAGGCAAGGAGAGAGACCTTGAGTGGTGCAAACAGTTAACACACTCCACTGCTAACCGAAAGGTTGGAGGTTTGAGTCCTACCAGAGGCACCTCAGAAGAAAGGCCTGGTGATCTACTTCCGAAAAAAATCAGCCACTGAAAACCCTCTGGAGCACAGTTCTACTCTGACACACATGGGGTCACCATGAGTCAGAGTCAACTTGATAGCAACTTTTTTTAAGGCAAAGAGAGCCTGATTTGAGGCAATAGCAGCGAATATCCTGCTAATATTGACAGGTAAAATGAGATCAGCATGCTTGTCAAATGTCTTCCTTTCTCCCTCTCCCTTACCTAACATCATCTTATTCTAAAAAAATTATCAAGATTTATAGCATCTATTTTTAGTTTTTACTATAATTCTCACAATTTTTTATCTTCTGTATTTAAATGAATTTTGAGCTCACCAGTGCTTTCGTCACAGTTTTGTATTGGTTCTTCTGTGCATGATTTAGATTTTATCATCAAATGCATTCACGAAAAGTTCCTGGGTGCTTTATTCTCTGAAATCTCACAAACTTGAGAATATCTATTGCCTGTATGTTTAAGGGATATTTTTCTCTTAATATATCCTGCATTTTAGAGTACCTGGGGTATTCATAATTCTAGTATCCAAGATGATGTCTTTGTTGACCCATCGATTAGGTAGAAAAGTATTTCTAAATTTCTAAAAGGAGGTAAGTTAGTTGTCTGGCCCTTAACAGAAAAACGTTTGCTGGCTCCAGACCTAGACTAATGAAGCGTAAAGCTCCACCCTCATGCTCACCACTTGGGCTGCAGGATCATCAGTTCTTGTGTTTACCCCTCTAGTTTTCCACTTCCTCTTCATTTCTAGCACCTGCACGTTTTCTTTCGCTCTTCTTTCTTTGTTTTTTTTTACAAGCCCAGCTAGCTACTTAAAAGCATATCTATTTTATTTTATCTAGATATTTTTAGCAGGAATGTTTTCAGATACCTAGTCCACCATATTGCAAAACCAGAAGTCTCCTCCTTCTTCTGTCTTTGGATAATAATATGTTTTTTTTTTTTTATTCCCTTGACTTGGCCACTTAACTTGTTCATGTTCAATTTTTCCTTATTTTCTGGTTCTATTCTTTAAGGCCAGGAAAATTCTCATCTACATAACTCTCTGTCTGTGGTGTTTGGTATGTAAGCTCTCAATTGTCATTTCTTTTAAAACATTTTGTAATACTCATGGTCATTTTCTTTTTAATCCATTGATTATTTTAAAGTGAGATAATTTTTCAAATATATTTTTGGCTACTTTATCTTTAATATCTGGTGATCAAAGATCACGGTCTTTCTGATACCAGTTCTTTGGAATTTATTGAAATTTTGTTTGTGGTCCAGTATGTGGTCAATTATTAATATGCATGGAAAAAATGTATATCTGAGTGCAAGATTCTCTTTGTATATGTTATATCAAACCTGTTAATTGTGCTATTCCTGTTGCCAACCTTGTTGCCATGGAGTTGATTCCAACTCACAGCGAGCCTATAGAACAGAGTAGAACTGCCCCATAGGGTTTCCAAGGCTATAATGTTTACAGGAGCAGATCACCAGGTCTGTCTCCCATGGAGCAGCTGGTGGGTTGGAACCCCTAACCTTTTAGTTAATAACTGAGCACTTAAGCACTGCACCACCAAACCCGCTACCATTGAGTCGATTCTGACTCATAGCGACCCTACAGGACAGAGTAGAACTGCCCCATAGGGTTTCCAAGGCTATAAATCTTTATGGAAGCAGACTGCCACATCTTTCTCCTGCAGAGCAGCTGGTGGGTTCGAACTGCTGACCTTTCGGTTAGCAGTTGAGCACTTTAATGACTGTGCTACCAGGGCTGCTTAATTGTGCTATTAGGATCTCTATTTTAAATCTGTCTGCTAGATATAACACTTCCAAAAAATGTTCAGTTAAAACATACTGTGGTTTATATTTGTGTAATTTCTCTTTGTAATTTTATCAGTTTCTGATTTAGGTATTTCAAGGTTATGTTGTTAATGAGCATAAAAGTCAATGATCATTGTCTCCTTTGTGGATTATTTAATTTATCGGTATTAATGTTTTATTTCCTAGCTTATAAATCTTAGAAATCATGTTTTTAATGGCCAGCCCAAACCTTTCTGTGAGCTGAATCTAGCTGTAGGCCAGTTTTACACCCAGCAAAATTAGACAATAGAAGGAGCTTGCTCTTGTGTTCTCTCCTACTGGTTTCTGCAGAGAATGGCTTGATCATTTGATGACCCTAAATCTTGTAGTTCTTGTCTAAGGCAAAGGATGTGCCTTTCCAGATGATGCCTCCAGGTCTGAGGAGGTCTATACCAGATGCCTTCTCTACCCTCTTCGCTTTGATCCAGTTTTCCATGTGGGGTCGATACACTTAACAGTTTGGGGTTTAAGTCTGTAGGTACTTCTTTTTTAATATCGAAGTTATATTTTTTCTTTCATTTTTCATTTTTAAATGTTTTTTGGTCTCAGGGAATTGGGAGTGAAGTAAAAATAATCTTTATTTTACCATCATCAACTGGAAGACCTCAAAATTCTCTTCTTACCCAAAACCTTTCAGTGGTTTTATTCTTCTGATGGAGTGTGAAATACTTTGACAGCACCAAAATCTGAGAAACAAAGATTAACTAGATGTGGCAGGTATTGATAAATGTTGATACCAATCATGCGTGTATCTGGGAATCAATGAAAAACAAGGTTTATTGGGTGAAAGAATCAAAGTGGGCTTTTGGAGACTCTGTATGTAGTTTCCACAGCATTCATAACAGTTGTGAAAACATGGACACATTATCTGCTTTATGTTAAGAATGTCTATTTTTTAGTTCTTGAAGCTGCTTCTTAGAACTTTATCTTATTGTTTCACCTGTTAAACCCATAATAAAGGAAAAATGCTCTTGGAAGAAGTTGATGTTTAAAATGTAGAATACAACTAATGTTTCGATCTTCTTTCCCCGTTTTTCCTTTTGTAGTATGACTATGAATATGATGAAAACGGTGACAGAGTCGTTTTAGGAAAAGGCACTTACGGCATAGTCTATGCAGGTCGAGACTTGAGCAACCAAGTCAGAATTGCTATTAAGGAAATCCCAGAGAGAGATAGCAGGTACAGTAATTCTGCATAATAAGAGCTGTTTTCTAAAGTACTTTGGGCTGTTAATACCATTTTAGAAAATATTTTGTGATATTCTAATTAATGAAACTCTGAAAACTCCATTGTGTTAATTAGCTCTCTGAGGGTTAACTGTTGCATCTTTCAAGAATAAGACTCTGATGGGGAAGGGCAGCGTATCTGAGGTAACGAGGACAGGATTTCCTAAGAGTAGAAGAGAAAATGGCCCTGTGTGTGTTGGACTGAAGTTACATCGGATAATGGTGTTTATTATATGGATAGATGGGGAATAAGCACTATCAGAAATGGTCTGAACCATACCAAGTGGGACCTTGTGGAAAATGGAAGAGATTTTAGGAAGAGGGAAGTTGTTCAGGGAACTAAACAGCTCTAGCAACAGCATTATCTGTTGTTCCCTGCTCCAGTGCTCTGTTCAATCATTTGTTTTCCCAACAAATAATTCCCTCTTCTCTCAACTTCATGATTCCTGCTGCCTCATCATTTTCCTTTTGTCTTCTCTCTGTAAGATAGTGCTCCTACAGTCAACTGTGTACATGTGTGGTATATTGGTTTGAATTGGTCAGTTATTACAATAGTCCTTATTTGGCCAAATTTTAATGTCAGGCTGTGTCATAGGCTTCCTTTGGCTGCCTGCAAGTCTCCTTTCCTTTGGCCGTGGTGGTAGGGTCACATGATTGGCTTTCCTCAGAGAGAACCTGAGCTCCATGAGCCTCCTGTCTACCCAACATCTCCACTTGTTAATCTAAAAGGCATCTCAAGGTTAACATAGCCAAAATGGACCATAGATTTTACCCCCAAATGTACTCTACCTGAGGTTTTCCCTGCCTTAGTTAATGTTACTTTAACTATCCAGCTGTTTAATCTAAAGCCTCAGATTCATTTGGATTCCTGTCTTTCTCTCACACTCCATATCATCTCCATCAGTCAGTCCTGTTGTCTCAGCCTCTTAATATATGCTGAATCTTCCTACTCTTTCCCATCACAACTACAACTCTAGTCTAAGCTGCCAGGTCTCTCACTCAGACTCCTGACTGCTTCTACCTCCTAACTGGTCTCTGCTTTCTCTTCTCCATTCACCCTTAGTCCATTCTTTCTCAGAGCAGCCAGAAAGATCTTTCTGAGGTTAAGTCATATCATGTCATTACTGCTTAAAATCGTTCAATGAATTATTGTTGCGACCAGTAGAAAGCCTGGTACCCTTACCTGGAACCATAAGGCCATGACGATCTGCTTCCCTCTGTAGATCCCCACCTGTGCTCCCGCCATTGCACACTAGAATCTAGCCACATTGGTGTCTTTCTGTTTGTCAGGCACAGCAAGGCTCATTCTCCAGATCTTGCCATGACTACTTCATTTTCATCTTTTAGATTTCAATCCATATGTCAAGCCTCCAGAGAAGCCTTCTTTGACTACCCCAGCTGAAAAAGATACTCCATCCCATGCCACCAGTATCCCAAGTACCAGCTATCTTTCTGCTACTCCATCCTTAGTGCAAAACTTTCAAAGGTGGCTGCGCTGCCTTCAGCCTCCTTATCTACATTCCAGACAAGAGGAATGAAAAGGAAAACCATGCTCTCCAGAAATGCCTAGCACACTCTCACCTCTATTCCACTGGCCAAAAATAGTCACCCCTAACTATAGGCAGCCTAGGAACTCTACAGCTTTTAAGCTGGACTTTCTTCAAACAGAATTAGAAAGAGAGAAAACTAGATATCAGGTAGGTGACTAGTAGTTAGTGTCTGCCACATGCATAGTTTCAATTGTATGTTTCTCATGGCATTGTTCCAGAATTTTCTCTTGGCTAATTCATGAGATAATAATGAATTCTTATGAAACAGTGGTAGAAATTATTTATTCAATTCCTATAGTGATGTATATAAAGTTGTTATGTTTAAATTTTTAAAAAAAATATTTCTATAGGTCCTTAAGCAGTAAATACACAGAGTAGATTTTAAAACAACATAAAATTTAATGGGCTCAACACTATCAAAATGCTGTAGCCATACTTACTGCCATTAGCCACATCCCTTTTCCCTCTCCCACCAAATGAATTTAAGTAGGCACTTGGAAGAAAACTGCTTTTAAAATCAACTTTGTGGCTTAATTTTACTCAACTGCCATTGTGCCATTGTACACACAGCAGATATACCAACACTAATGCCACATTTTCAGCCTCTGTCTGTAACAATGCAATTGTCATAATGTGGGTTGTTTGAAAACACTTGCATGACAAGCCTTTCCCCTGAACAGCTTATACAGAGCATCTTTTTACCAAAGTAAGGGGATTACAATGAAATCTATCATGTTTTTACCGTGAAGATACAGCAGACAAAGGTATTTCCATCTATGTGCCCTGGCGTGATTTGGATGCTCCATTAAAAAGCTAGCAGTGACAATGGATAATTGCTAACATCGGATGATGGGTGTGAATAATGCATGATCCACTGTACACTAAATATTACCATCTGTAAGGAGGGATCACAGCAACCAAAACAGTTTCTTCTGTGTTTCACTCATATTCTAAAGATACTTTGTTAGAGAATCAGAGTGGTTGTAAGAGAGAGGTAGTGGATTTTAAGTATGCCTTCATAATCTATCCCCAACTAGTTGTTAATCTCAGAATGACTTCTTCCTCTGACATCCTATACACTCCTGAACTGTCTGTTTAGATCAGTGATTCTCCATTCAGCTGTATATTAGGGCTAATGGAGAGCTTTTAAAAATACTGATGCTCAGGCCATAATTCCAGAAATTCTGGACATTGGTATTTTTTAAGGCCCCCAAGAGATGAACGTTGAAAACCACTGGTCTAGATGGTTGTAAGTGGGAATTTTACTCAGATGGCATGCTCTGGAGATACCTACGGATTAATAGTTTTTTTCAAAGCTAAATATATATCTAAGTATTTTCTGTTATCTACAATTTCTTTTTTCCATTCTTATAGCTGATTAAGAAGAGATATGATTTGCTGTCTACATTCTTAAGAATTCAGTATTACAATAAGCTATTAATGAAGACTATAGAATTGATGTCCTTGTTTACTTTAAGGGTATCGTTTTGGACTTGTGAGCCAGCAACAGTATTGGAAGAAAGATAACATGTTTTATTAAAGGCCCTTATTCTCTAGGGTGACAATGTATTAATACCTCTAGAGCTGTTCTGAAGATCTCCAAAGACATCAAAGAGGCTGGTTGGCATAAATCCATGACAGCAGATTTCCAGCTAAAAAGCTATAGAGTTCCTAGCTTACCTGTAGTTAGAGGTGGCCACTTTTGGCCAGTGGAACAGGTCAAAGTATGCTGAACTTTCTGGGAAGCATTCTTTTCCTTTTTCTTCTTACTGTTTGGAATGGATATACAGAGGCTGGAGGCCACCTTTGAAAGTCATGCACTAAAGTTGGAAAGGCATAAAAATAGCTGGGACCTGGGGCACTGGTTTCATGAAGAGGGGTGTCTTTTTCAGCTTGAGATAGTCAGAGAAGGCCACTGTGACATTGGAATTGAGACCTAAATGATGACAAGCATAGTTTTTTGACCTAAACAAATTATAATTTCATGCTTATTTAGTGCTTGCCATTTACACTTAGTGAAAATTGCTGCATGTTCCCAATAATTTCTATATTGGAGAAGGGTTCTTATTCTTAGCTAGGTTGAATTCTGACTAGTATTGCAAATTTTGAGCCATCCTTGGTTTAAATAATGAGCAAGTGGGGGATGGAGGGGATGGGTATTCGCTTCACAAGGATCTTAAATTTAAGCGTTGATAGTTTGATTTTCAAGAAGGTCAGGAGGTGAAACCCTTTGGTTCATAATAAACAGAGTTAGTCACCTGCTTTAGATTATTTGATCATCTTGATTTAAATCTGTAGAATAAGCACAATATTTGCGACTAACTTATATCATACATATGAAAAGCAATCATGACCTAGTATCAATAAAGTTTTTTAAACCTGATATAAATGCCTTCATCTTTGAGAATCATTACCTAAGTATCTTATTGGTAACACTATATATTGGCATTTGACATGGAATCTCATTCAAGCAGTTATCAAAATGGTGTTGCTGTTCCTCACTCATATCCTGCTAAGAGGTTCAAGGTAATACCTGCCCTTCATGATTCCTAGAGAAATTCTAAAAAAAAATAAAATGAGTAAAAGATCTAAAATACAGTTCGTTGTTTCTTTGGCTGCTTTCTGAGTAAGGTTTCACAGATTATAAAAGTTTGTTTAAAGTAAGTGAATTTGGATTTTTGTAACCTGCGAATTGCTTTACCTTATAGTTTACCCTGAAAAATATGAATAAAATCTAATAGGACAGGGGAGAGACTATGACTTCATGAAAGTAGTATATAATTGAATGCTAACCAATTCTAGTATTTGTTATTGGCATTCAAAAAATCCATTCTGCTTATATGGGTTTGCCATTGTAGGATCTGAGCATTTCCCACATGTAGGACTAAAGCAAGGCATCACGTTTTTATTTACTGCCTTAGTAGTTGGTGCCTTTCACACTGTAGCCTCCATTCCACAACAGAAAAAAAAAAAAAAGTTTGGATGTGACTTTGACTCTCTACTGATCCTTGCTGATACCCTACCATATTTACTTATATAATAATTATATTAGAGCTACATTGAATTCAGGAATGTTAAGAGTCTGCAAGCTTTACAGTGCTTCAAATAATCATCAAAAGTATTGCTTGGTCTGTTCCAGAAATATAAAATACTTCTATTTTAGAAGTTGATTCAGCAACATATAGCACATACATGATTTTGAAGTCTGGTTTAAAGCTGGTCTTTGAATGTGGAGGCTTGGTTAGGATTGGGTAAAAATCCTGCTATAATAGCTAGAATGATGGACACAGTAAGGTGAGGATTTTGAGGCAAGGGACTCAAAGAGATTTGGGGTATAAATGTTTTTTTCTATTGAAGAATTGATGGCCTTTCAGAAAGTTCTGGAATGAACATTACAACTATTTGCAATTTTTATCTTCCTGAGCAAGGGTGTCCTGAAATAGTAAAGTTATGTTCAGGAGGGTGGTGGAATATATAGTCGTGTTAATGTGACAGTAAGCAGTGTGAGATGATTTCTGTTCTCCTGGATTCAAATATTAGCTCTGTCACTTACTAGCTTTGTGATTTGGGGCAGGTTTAGTTATCCCTTCTGTGAATCAATTTCCTCATCTGTCAAATGAGCATCCTAATAGAACCTTACTCATGGGATTGCTGTGAGAAATGAGTTAATATATACAAAGGGCTTAGAACAGTGCCTGTCCCTATTTCCCTTCAGATCCTACTATACCCTCAACGTCATAGAATTTATCTTATGAGAAATAAAGGCCTTAAATGGTCATATTTGGATTTATATATGGGCATATATTTAGCTAACATTTTCAAATGCCATTGCTTAAATTTATACGCTAATCTAAAGTCTGGCTATGTAATTCGCTCATCAATATTTGCATGTCTTTTAGATACTCGCAGCCCCTACATGAAGAAATAGCATTGCATAAGCATCTGAAACACAAAAATATTGTCCAGTATCTGGGCTCTTTTAGTGAGAATGGCTTCATTAAAATCTTCATGGAGCAGGTCCCAGGAGGTAAGAAATATTTTTCTTTCTTTAAAAAGTATAAATTGCTAGGGCCTTGAAGCACAGTAAAATTGAGACTTACTGTATCACACAGGCCTTTACTTGTCTAAGTTAAAAGAAAAATTGGACATATGACATCACTTTACTGTTTTTTAGGAGACAATAAATAAATACCAGAACTAATTTCATACCAATAATTGTAACTTGGAGCCCTGGTGGCAGAGTGGTTAAGAGCTTGGCTGCTAACCAAAAGGTTGGCAGTTCGAGTCCACCAGTTGCTCTTTAGAAACCCTCCAGATCTTCTCTGTCCTATAGGGTCCCTATGAGTCGGAATCAACTCAACAGCAACGGGTTAATCATAACTTGGATTAATGATAGCAATTGAGTTGCCTTTTACTTCTACTGTATTTGATAATGAGCTTCTTTAGACCAGGGACATTTTCATATTCATGTTTGAGCCCCAAGAATTTTGTACAAGGCCTGGGCTACTGTGAATAACCCAATTTATACTGGCTTCAATTAATGTTACATTACTGCTGTTGTTGTTAGGTGCCATGGAGTTGGTTCTGACTCATAGTGACCCTGTGTACAACAGAATGAAACACTGCCCAGTCCTGCACCATCCTCACAAATGTTGCTGTGTTTGAACCCATTGTTGCAGCCACTGTGTGCTTTAAAGAACTCATTTAACTTAAAGATTTTACCCACTGTTTTCTCCCTACTTTACAGGAAGTCTTTCTGCTCTCCTTCGTTCCAAATGGGGCCCATTAAAAGACAATGAGCAAACAATTGGCTTTTATACAAAGCAAATACTTGAAGGATTAAGATACCTCCACGACAATCAGATAGTTCACCGGGATATAAAGGTAGGATGCACTAGGATTCGTTTCCATTTTTATTTACAAAAGGTATATTGTGTTTTGAGTATTAATTTGGAATGGCAAATTAATAAACCTCAGAAATAGCAGAAATCTAAGATACTACTGTATGCTGAATCATTTATTTATATTCATGTCCGATCTCTTCTTCTCAAGGTATAAACTACTTGGCCATATTCAATTCACTAAGATTGAACTCTCACTTCGGTTTAGGTGTTCTGTGGGGTAGGGGTGCAGCAGTACGAAGTTGAACAGGAGCTTAAAGGCTGGTTCATCTTCATATCCATGCCCATAGTTGCTACTCAGAAAATATTTACTGAATCAATGGATGCACAGTTGGAAGAAAAAAATAAAATCCTCTTTTTCTACAAGTCTCACGTACTCATAGATTGAAATAAAATTAGATAACTTATTAGATTCTGTTTAAAAGGAGAAAATTCAGAACTAATAAATTTTTGACAAAGTAAGTTAATATTGGAAGGGGCCCTGGTGAAGTGGTTAAGCACTTGACTGCTAACCAAAAGGTCGGTTTGAACCCACCAGTCGCTCCATGGACAGATTATGTAGATTTATAGTCTGTTTAGGTAAAGATATATAGCCTTGGAAACCCTATGGAGCAGTTCGACTCTGTCCTGTTGGGTCACTATGAGTCAGAATCAACTCAGTGGCAACGGGTTTGAAGTTAATATTACTACCCTAAAGTTGACCCAAATGCTCATTTATCTGCGATGAGTTTAACTGTATTTCCTAGGTAACCTAGGAAAATAAGTAAAACAACATAGAAAAGAAAGTAAAATGACTGGGGAGTTATGGATATCATAATTTAACTTATCATACACGTTATTGAAACCTATACTATCTGCGTACTGCAGCAAACTGTAACTAAGTAGGAACCGTTTTTGACCTTGTGACCTGAGTAGCAGATTGTAAACAGCTATGAGCTATTAATGAAGACTACAGAGTTAGTGTCTTTGTTTGCTCAAAGGATACCTTTTCATACTGGACTTGTGAGCCAGCAACAGTATTGGAAGAAGGATAACATGTTTGATTAAAGTCCTCTGTTCTCTAGGGTGACAATGTGTTGATTAATACCTATAGTGGTGTTCTCAAGATCTCCGACTTCGGGACATCAAAGAGGTTGGCTGGCATAAATCCATGTACTGAAACTTTCACTGGTATGTTTTTGCAATGATGATACAGATCTTTTGTAATTAAAGAAGTAATTGCTAAGTTTAAGCATAATATGAGAGAGAAATTTAGTCTGTGGACTCACAAACATTAATGTTGATATCTTTTGATGCTCACTAAAAAATGTGACACAGAATTTAAACTGTCCCCTTTCTCTTCTTGTATTTGTGTGCTTGCTCAGCCTCTTGCTTAATGCCACTAAAGATTTTTTTTTAACTCTGAATTTATCATTTGTTTTCCCTTTCATGCCATCACGTCCTTCCTGGTTGGCCTACAACCATCATAACCCTAACAAGATTTTTTTTTTTTAACATTTCCGTAGTCCAAGCTCTCTGTGATTCTTACTCATACCTTAATTACCTCCCATTTGGACTATGAATTCCCTCATTCCTAGTCCTGTTTACTCCGTGTCGCCTATTCACCTACTCCACAATATAAATAACTGTGAGATTTCAATTCAGAAAGAGGAAGTGACTCACCAACTCAGAAGTGGGATGAAGAGAGAGCTTTCCTGAGAAATTAGGCAATGCAGCCACTGAAGCTAGCTGCGTCTAGTACAATGTCCCAGGAGGGTGGAGACAAAGCAAAATTTCTAAAAAGGTAACAGGAGCCAAGAGGAAACCAAAGAGCAGAGAAATTAATGACTACCCAAGGACACTCAGTAGTTACAGGGGGAGGAGGCATCTGGGACTTTAAACTTGGTCTTCACTCCATGTTCTTATCATTCCTTTATGTTGACTCTTATTTAAGTATTAAATTCTTATTATGATTAGAAAGAGAGAGTGAAATTTAGCAAAATGAGTCAATGAGTTATCTTTGGTCTAATATAAAGCAGAATGGCCAGATGCTCCCATTTACGCATTCAGTTGTTGGTAGACGTTGGTGTTGGTGTGTGCTATCGAGTTGATTCTGTCTCATAGTGACCCCATGCGACAGAGTAGAACTTCCCTATGGGGTTTCCTAGGCTGTAATCTTTATGGGAGCAGATCACCAGGTCTTTTCTCCCTCCAAGCTACGAGTAGGTTTGAACCGCTGATCTTTTTGTTAACAGTCGAGTGCTTAACCATTGTGCCACTAGGGCTCCTTGTGAGGTAGGAGGTAGTACCCCCATTCTGCAGATGAGGAAATTGAGAGAAAAGGGACATTGCTGCCAGAAGTCACACAGTTTGTAAATGCTAGAACTCAGGTTTTTAATCTACCCTTTGCTGTTTGCTTTGAACTTTTTGTTCCACATCTGTTTTTCTCTCCACCTCACCCCAGTATCTGTTGTGGTAGCCTGAGAAGGGGAAAGGAGTAGAGAGAGAAATCCCATAAGGCTCCCCCTCAGAACATTCAGTCGGCAACACCTTTGGCCTGGCTCCCATCCCCATGGCAATGGGTATTTCAGGACACAGAATTAAATACATTTATAATGTATTTTTTTGAACAAAGTAAGTACTAGCCTATTAATAATTTTAAATGTCTTTACATTTTTTTCCTCATACGCTGTCAACTTGGCAAGAGACATTTTAGATTCTGCCAAGACTTAGTAATTTCTGAGAGGAAAATCTTCGCTTTCAGCACACTTTATTTGGGCAAGATATTAATCTTTTATTCTTGAAAACTTTTTTTTTTTAAATCCCCAAAGGAGTTGTAGTAAAGCCTGTCTTCCCAGAACCCTTTGCAGATGCTTCTGCCACTGGCCTCAATTAAGAATGACGTATATGACTAACATGCTTACGTCTGTCTCCAGCACTGACTGTGTCTGGTTGTGCAGACCATCATAGCCCTCAGAGGAAGCCAAGTCACAGGGGCTTAGTCAACCTCTGATGAATTGCGTTGAAGGACATTGATCTGTCTTAACTCTTGGTGATTTTAGTGAAGGAGAAGGCAACAGCAACCAGCATTTATGGAGTGTTTACTGTATACTTGACTCTGCTAAATGCTTTACATAAGTTATTTCATTGAAATTCATACATCATCCCTAAGTGGTAGGTATCATTATCCTAGTTTATGGTGGGAAAATTAAGGTTCAAAGAAATTAAATAACCAGTGATAGAGCCGAGATTCAACTAGACTTAACATGCCAAATGGAATTAATTATCTTCTCCCCAAACCTGTTCCACCCACACTCTTCCTGGTCTCAGTTGATGGCGACTCCAAACTTAAAGTTATCTGTGGTGCCTTTCTCTTCTCACATTCCAATCCAGTCCATCAGGGAAGCCAATTGGCTCTAACTGCAAAATGTGTCCAAAATAGGGCCACTTCAATAACCTTCTACCTCTTCTCCCTGCATCCACTTTGGCCCCTACTGTCTCTTCTCAACACAGCAGCCAGAATGTTCCTTTTAACACATAAATCAAGCCCTAGCACTCAGAGCATTTAATGGCTTTCTGTTTTTTTCCGAGGAAACACTAAACTCCTTACAATGGCGGATAAGGCTCCTACCAGATCTGGAGTCCTTTGGTTTTCAGACCTCATTTCCTGCTCATTCCCATTGTTCATTCTGCTCCAGGCACATAGGCCTTCCTGTATTTCACCCATTATGCCACATAAATACTCAACGGCAGTTACCTTGTTGGTCCAAACAAGAGGCAGTGAGGTAACTGTTACAAGGTCCTGCTACAGGGCCTTTGCATATGCTTTTCATTTTGCCAGTAATACTCTTCCCCCAGCAATCTGCATGGCAGACTCCCTCACCACCCTCAAGTCCAAACTGCTTCATGAGGTCTACCCTGAGCACCCTATTTACAGGGGCAGCCCTCCTTGGGACTGGATACTCCTGATTCCCTTCACCTTGCTCTCATTTTTGGTCTTAACACTTATCACTTTCTAACATAATATATAATTTACTTATTTATTGTGCTTTTAGCTTATTGTCTGCTTCCCTCTACAAAATATAAGCTTTTGTACATTTGTATCTGTAGTATTTCTGTTTACTCCACTGCTGCATTCTAAGTGTCTTAAACAGTGCCTGGCCCATCAACCACTGCTATTGAGTCAATTCCGACTCATAACAACCCTGTAAGACAGAGTAGAATTGCCCCATAGGGTTTCCAAGGCTGTAAATCTTTACAGAAGCAGACTGCCACATCTTTCTCCTGCGGAACTACTGGTGGTTTCAAACCACCAGCCTTTTGGTTAGCAGAGGAGCACTTTAGGGATCCCTCAGTATGGATCTGTAGAATGAATGCTTGAATGAAATATAATGTTTAAACTTTTAACCACTAAACTATACTGCCTCCCCAGATAGCTATACTGGCAAAGAAATTCTAAAATAGATTATTTTAAAGTATGTTTCTTAAACTTTGGAATGCAGTATGTAGGAAGTATGGGTTTTAGGGTTAATACTCTCACTTGTGTTTTTTTAGGCTAATGTTCAGATTGGTTTGCGTCTCCATTATCCAGCTCTGCAAATCTCTTTGTATAAAATATTATGTGTCATGTGTTTGTGGAGTAAAGAGAGAAGCAGATATGAACACATGACTAAACCTGTTTTTTTGGCACTTGCTCTGATAATTAAATAATTAAACGCAATTGGCACATAGAGAGCTTTGAAATATTATCTGATGAATAAAAAACATGCGTAATTTATTGTTAAGATATTACTTTAACTGTCCGATTTTGTAAATTCACTATATTTTTGATCAGTTGTAATTTCTACTCAGATATTGTTGTTGCTGTTGTTAGGTGCCTTTGAGTCGGTTCCAACTCATAGTGACCCTGTAGGACAGAATACAACTGCCCCATAGGGTTTCCAAGGAGTGGCTGGTGGATTTGAACTGCCAACCTTTTGGTTAGCAGCCGAGCTCTTAACCACTACACCACTCAGATATTAGCAAACTTAAGTTCTCTCATCAAATTTATTTTAGACCCAGAGACAACAAAAGGGAGTGGTAGGCTTCAACACATTTTCTAAAAGATCATTTGATTATATATAATCACAAAAAAAATATCACTTGCAGGGAAGCTAACATTGAAGAGAAATCATAGCGGTTTTCTGTTAAGGGTAGGTGAGTCTTTGGAGAGCGTGTTTTCCTTATACTTGGCAAAGTGAAATGCTTTCCTCCAATAGCTTTGCAAATTTAAGCTGAGAGCAGACACACACAGTTGTATGTAAGCAGAAACTTGAACTTCTGCCATGTAATGATGAGGTTTAAAGGATAAACCTGGCAAGATGACAAAGCTTGAAAAAAATACTACACCTTTATTATATTATTATGAACAACAGCCAGCTTCTAGCCTGTGTATTTGTGGCTTTCATAGGGGAAGTTTAAAAGAATTTTATGTAGAAGCGTTTACCTATAAATTATGCATTGAGATATTCATAAAAGGTGTTGTCTATATTTATCAAAAAGTCTGTCACTCTGGTTATAAATTAGATACTGAAGTAGCTCTTCTGGCAAACGCCTCCGGATTTGAAGTATTTTAACATGGCATCTTGGATGGTTTTCTGTTTGCTGATTATATAGTTTGAGTATATCAGGAGTCCATGGGTAGTGCAAATGGTTAACATGCTCAGCTGCTAACTGAAAGGTTGGAGGTTTGAGTCTACCCAGAGGCACCTCAGAAGAAAGACCTGGCAATCTGCTTCTGAAAATCGGCTGTCAAAAACCCTATGGAGTACAGTTCTACTCTGACATACATGGTGTTGCCCTGAGTCAGAATCAAGTTGACAGCAACTGGTTTCATGAGTGTACCAGAGGCAGGAGATATGGCCATAATCTGTTCCTGTTCAAGCTCCTAGCTCTTTGCTGGACTTTGGGAAATCTCTCTAAGGGGCACTAGAAATGCAAATTCAGCCTCTTGTTTGGCCAGTGAGGTGACTGCAGCTGAGTGTTTACCTGGGATGGACCAGACCAGAACTAGAACCAGTGGTTCTTGGCTCTCCCTTTTTCATTTCATTCCTCTTCACTCTCTGTCTGATGAGTTGTCTGTACTGATGGCGCCTGACCTGTCTTTTATCTGTTAAACCCATTATTCCACAGACCTCAGGCACACAGGCAGGAGTCATGTATATTTGATTCACAGAATAACGTACTCCAGAAATGATTTACATTATTCTTAGTAATGGCTTTCAGAATCTTCATGATTTCATGATGAGGAAATAAGAATGAAAACAGAAAAACTAAGCATTTAACTCAGGAATTTAGAAATATTGATTTAAGGAAATGGTTGAATGAGCTAGATTTATCCTGGAAAAGACTAGAAGTATACATAATAGCAGTCTTCATGTATTTAAAGAACCAGACACAGAAAATGTGTGTTGATATACTCTCTGTTGTTCTCAGAAGACTAATTGTTGGAAGTTTCTAAGAGATCCCAATGAAATGATGCCTCAATTATGCTACTCTATCTAGGGAATGAGAACTATCCATTTATAACCCAATGATGTTGGAAAACTATTTTTTATATCACTGGTAAAATCCATGATAAAAACTGCTATTTTCACTTTTATTAACAGCAGAGAAAACTGGAACCCCCAAATTATGAGATATTAAGACTTGAATCACTCTTGTTGTTTTACTTATATACAGAAATAGCAACTGTCATGAGCTATCCATCTTTTACCTCTCTTTAAAGTGAAAATGTGTTTGAATTATTTCCAGGTACCCTTCAGTACATGGCACCAGAAATAATAGATAAAGGGCCCAGAGGCTACGGAAAAGCAGCAGACATCTGGTCTTTGGGCTGCACCATCATTGAAATGGCCACAGGAAAACCACCCTTTTATGAACTAGGAGAACCACAAGCAGCTATGTTCAAGGTTTCATTTTGTATATGTCTTGAAAACACATGTATACAGCTTTCCATGCTGTTGTTGTTGGGTGCCGTCAAGTCGATTCCAACTCATAGCAACCCCATGTAACAGAGTAGAACTGCCTCGTGGGATTTTCTTGGCTGTAATCTTTACAGGAGCAGATCGCCAGGTCTTTCTTCCACAGAGCTGTTGGGTAAGTTTGAACCACCAACCTTTCGGTTAGCAGCTGAGCACTTAACTGTTTGTGCCACCAGGGATCCTTAAAGCTTTTCATAGCTACTGGGTATTCTATATGTTTATGTCATTTTTTCTTTTTTTTTTTTAAGGTAAAAGACAAAGAGCCTAAGTAAGCATGACTGGAGAGCACATTAAAGTTCAAGAAGAGTCATGCCCTCAGCCAGCGCCTAGTCTTCCCGCAATGACCTCTCTTTGCCTTAGTTTTCTCAGCTACAAAGTGAGATTAAATGTAACTTCCCCTGACCATCTTCTAACAATGCAGTATAAATAACACCCCACTACATGGAAGATGATTTAAGCTCTTTAGGAATCACTGTCTGAAAATCTTCCCTGGAAAGAGATACAAGAATGTTTTTAACCAACTGATATTAAAAAATAAAATAAACATCTTCCTTTACTTCTCTGTCAGAATAGTTGAATAGTTGAATGAATCCATTAAAAAAGAGATTAATAAATACTTTAAATACATCAGTCTTATTTTCTTATTTCTACTTTTCTAGCCTGTTAATTAGCCCCTTAGTAATTCCTCTGGAAGTGGGAAACAGCCCCACCTCCCAAAAACAGGGAGCACCCGATATGGAGATAGGGCTGAGAGAGTCCTAGTGCCACAGCGCAGGATCTGGGGACTAAGCATGGTGGCTACCTGCCTCTGCTTTCCTGTAGTCGTCACCTGCCAGACCCTTATGCCAAAGGAAAGTTTAAAATGGAAACCTAAGACAGAGGACTTTTGATGATAATTTATTCCTCTCCCAACTGCGGACCATGTTTTTAGCCTTATTCCCTTTATGTATAGCCTCTCGTGAAGGTCCATGTGTTACAAAGCCTGGCTTACTTTAAGCTTTGAGGTGATCTGATGGGGTGCTGATGATATAGAAATGAGCAGTATAACCAAACCTGAAAGAGCAATGAGAGCTACTAAGAGTGCTGCTCTTCTTGACATGAATTGATGTCTTTCTCTTGTTGGCCAATCTTTTTATCAGTCTCTAGGACGTTGCTCTGAAATGCTGCTTGATTACCCATTAGTGCAGTGATTATTATACGTCATGCTTTTGTCTCTGTTAGGCCAGCCTAAGCCTTGCATGGAGCCCTGGTGGCACAGTGGTTAAGTGCTTGGCTGCTAACTGAAAAGTCAGCAGTTTGAACCTACCAGCCACTCCACAGAGAGAGATGTAGCCGTCTGCTTCCATAAAGATTTACAGCCTTGGAAACCCGATGGGGCAGTTCTACTCTGTCCTATAGGGTTGCCATGAGTCAGAACTGACTCAGTGGCAATGGGTTTAAGGCTTGCATAGAAAGTGATACCATCTTGGAGAGATGAGATAACATAGACTCTGGCATTGATTAACAATGTTTGCATCCAGACTCCAACATGGTCTAGCTATTGGATGACTTTGGGCAAGTTACTTAACCTTCTTGTTCCTCAGTTTCTTCTTCTATGAAACGGGTATAAAAATAGCACCTCTTATAGGATTTTTTTTGAGCCTTGGTGGCATAGTGGTTAAGAGTTTGGCTATTAACCAAAAGGTTGGCAGTTAGAATTCACCAGACGCTCCTTGGAAACCCTATGTGGCAGTTCTACTCTGTCCTATAGGGTCACTATGAGTCGGGATCAACTTGACGGCGACGGGTTTGGTTTTTTTTTTTATAGGAGTTTTGGGAGTCCTGGTGGCAAAGTGCTTAAGAGCTATGGCTGCCAACCAAAAAGATCGACAGTTGTAATCCACCAGCTGCTCCTTGGAAACCCAATGGGGCAATTCTACTCTGTCCTACAGAGTCGCTATGATTCAGAATTGACTTGACAGCAACGGGTTTGGTATGGTTTTGGGTATAGGGGTCTTGTGAGGGTTGTGTGAAATAGTATGTGCAAGGCACTTAGAACACTGTCTGACACATAGTAAAGGCTATATAATTATTCTAAATAGTTATGTATTACTATTTATATAATAATAAATTTATATAAACTATATAATTATAAAAAAGATTCCCTTAGAAAATTTTCTCTACCCTAAATACATAAAAACATCATTAAAAAGTAAAATTTAAATGGCAGCAATGAGAAGAAATTCTAATTGTTATAAAAATACCATTCACTTAATTTTAAAGTACTTTTAAATATCCCTTTTAAAGTACGTGATTTGAGACAGGGAAAATATTCACAAATCATATCACAGAGAAAAGAGCACAGGCTGTACACCAAACAACCCAAGGTTTAAATCCCAAATCTGATTTTTCATAACCATGTAGCCCTACCCCTTTAGAGCCTCAGTTTCCTCATTGGTGTAACAGGGATAATATTTTTTAACATTTCTTTTTTTTACTGTTCTTGAAAATATACATAGCAAAACATGCACCAATTCAATAATTTCTGTATATATAATTCAGTGACATTGGTTACATTCAAGTTGTGCAACTGTTCTCAGCCTCCTTTTTCAAATTGTTCTTTCTCCATTAGCATAAACTCACGGCCCTCTAAGTTTACTATCTGACCTTTCCAGTTGGTGTTGTCAATTTAATCCTATATATTCTTTACAAATTATGCTAGCCTGTGGTTTGGCTTAAAGAAGACTTCAGGGGATATTTTTTATTTAAGGTTTAAGGATTATCCAGGGAATTGTTTTAGGAGTTCATCCAGCCTTAATGGCTCCAGAAAATCTGGATTCCATGAGAATTTGAAATTCTGTTCCACATTTCTACAGGGATAATATTTAATCCACTGGATTGTTGAGAGGATTCGATGAGATTCATATATGAAAAAAGCCTAGCACAATGCCTGGCACATAGTTATTGTGAACAACCCAGTGGTCTCAATGAAAAATATCTTTTTTGTGTGCCAATGTGCTGATGTGTTCTAAAGCTTAGAGGAGTGAATTATTACTACATAGTGCTGTCTCCTGTGTTAAACGGGTCACTCTGCCTATGTCACTGGTAAAGTTACAAAAGCACTCTGTGATATTCTGTAGCCTAAAAAACACATTCTAGCTCATGTTGAGAAAGACCACGAGTTTGTAGTGTATGATAAAGGACCTTGTTGCACTAGAGGACCAAGTTATGGAGCCTAGAGCTCACACAGTGAGATTGTGTGGTTGCTCAGAAGATACCTTGTTCTTTTCATATTATGCCTCAGGTGGGAATGTTTAAAGTCCACCCGGAGATTCCTGAGTCCATGTCAGCAGAGGCCAAGGCATTCATATTGAAATGTTTTGAACCAGATCCAGACAAGAGAGCATGTGCTAATGACTTGCTGATGAATGAGTTCTTAAAAGTGTCAAGCAAAAAGAAAAAGACACAACCTAAGCTTTCAGGTAAGTGGTTGCATTGAAAAGCTAAATTGTAAGCATTTAAGATGGAAGGTATTTCCAGACATGAAGTAATATTACCAGTTTATAGGTATCACTGGAAATTGGTATAAACCTTAGCACAGTGTACTCAGGCCTTCAGTTCTAGTATCTGGGAGCTGTTACCATTAATTTCACAGATGATAGGACCTCATACATAATAGTCTTCCATCATATGGTTATTAGGTAGTTAAATATATCAGAATGTATATAGCATTTAGCATTGCTGATGCTAGGGTCAAAGTGTAACAAAAAAATCATCACCATTGAGTAGATTCCAACTCATTGTGACCCTATAGGACAAACTAGATCTGCCCCATAGGATTTCCAAAGCTGTAATTTTTATGGAAGTGAACTGCCACATCTTTCTGCCACAGAGCAGCTAGTGGGTTTGAACTGTCAACCTCTTGGTTAGCAGCTGAGCACTTGACTTGCACCACCAGGACTCTTTAGGGGTTAAAGTGTAAAAGGGGTAAAATGTAGCCTTTTGGAGCTGAAACCCAAAATTACCACTAATGGGCTACAGAGTGACTACAGAGCCGTTAAACTCCCAGGTCATCTAGATAATATGGTCTTTGAATTTTAGGCAGTAGAAAAAACCTGCTATCTCTTAGAGAATATCTTTCTGAATAATTAACAAAAAGAAAGATAAGATTGTCAGTTATAAATACAACAGCAATGCAAAATTATAAGTAAATTGTCTTTTTGCAATAATTTCCATAACTCATTTCAGAAACAAAACAAACCAAAAAAACAAGTAAGTGATCCATTTGTTCTTGGCATTTTTGGTGTTTATATTGGATGAGGATGGGCAGACTGAATATCTGGGAAATACATTGATCCCATTTCAAGCTTTTGCTTTTTGTTGACTTCTCAGTTTAACAACAAAGCCAACGTATGCTTATGCTGCTGTTTCCTTTTCTTTCCATAGCCCTTTCAGCTGGATCAAATGGTGAGTTTATTTTTACCTTTGCCCATTGAGCTGAAGCCCAGTGCAGCATGCGATAAACTCTAAATTTCCCACCAAATCACCTGGACCTCTGCTCCTTGCTTACACGGGGTGGGAGTGGGGGCAGGGTAGCTCTTGGGAAGTAAGGGTGTATGCAGCTGCAAGCCTGGCTGGACTCATTCCTTTGAAAACCCCTCCCTTTTCTCTTTCATGAAAAACCAGTTGCTATAGATAGAGTTGATTTCTACTCGTGGCTACAATTGTTCTCCTTAAATGCAAGATGTGGTTAAGAGCTTGGCTGCTAACCAAAAGGTCAAATCCACCAGCTGCTCCTTGGAAACCCTATGGGGCAGTTCTACTCTGTTCTATAGGGTCGCTATGAGTTGGAATCAACTCATCAGCAATGGGTTAAATGAAAGATGAGTCCCTGGGTGGTGCAAAAGTTTAACGCCTTAAGCTGCTAGCTGAAAAGTTAGAGGTTCAGGACCACCAAGACACAACTCGGAAGAAAGGCCTGGTGATCTACTTCTAAAAAATCAGCTACTGAAAACCCCAGGGAGCACACTTCTACTTGGATACACATGGGGTTGCCCTGAGTCAAAGTCGACCTGAAGGCAACTGTCTTTTTTTTAATGGAAGGTGACTACATTTTTGAAATCTTCGATTGGAATCTTCTTATCTAGGAGCCAGTTGTCCACTTAATGGATTTCTTGTGGAAAATTTCAGTGCCAGACACCCTCCTCTGTCATCATTAGAGTTATATGTTATCTCTATTTTTAGTTGGTCAGGACTAATTGTATTTTTGTTTTTTAATGTTGGCTGTGCAGAGTGCAACCCTATAGGACAGAGTAGAACTGCCCAATAGAGATTCAAACTGCTGACCTTTTGGTTAGCAGCCGTAGCTCTTAAGCGCTGTGTCACCAGGGCTCCAGATCATAACTAGGATGTAAATTTGCTCTAGGAAGGTCAACTAATACATTTCAAAGAATAATGAAGAAATGAACACAGTTTTGGATTTCCCTGAGTTGTATGAGTTGTTGATCAAGTAATGCAGGGGGCTTAATGTGCATTACACCTGGGTTTCTATGGGCCAAGGGAAGATTCCTCAGATGCCTCAGAGCCAATCAGCCCAGTTAACCTGTTTCCATGAGTCAGTTCAGACTCATAGTGACCCCATGTTTTTCAGAGTAGAACTGTGCTCCAGAGGGTTTTCAATGGCTGGTTTTTTGGAAGTAGATTGCCTCTGGGTAGATTCCAACCTCCAACATTTTGGTTTGCAGCTGAGCACATTAACTGTTTGCACCACCCAGGGACTCAACCCAGGGTTGTTGTTATTGCTGTTAGGCGCCATTATTCAAGTCGGTTCCAACTCAAAGCGACCCTATGTACAGTAGAACAAAATACTTTGGTTCTGCGCCATCCTCACAATCATTGCTATGTTTGAACCTATTGTTGCAGCCACTGTGTCAATTCACCTCATTGAGGGTTTTCCTCTTTTTTGCTAACCCTCTGCTTTACCCAGCACGATGTCCTTCTCCAGGGACTTGTCCCTCCTGATGACATGTCCAAAGTACATGAGAGGAAGTCTCACCATCCTCACTTCTAAGGAGCATTCTGGCTGTCCTTCTTCCAAGACGGATTTGTTTGTTCTTCTGGCAGTCCACGTATATTCAATATTCTTTGCCAATACCATAACTTAAAGGCATCAGTTCCTTTTCGGTCTTCGTTGTCCAGCTACAACCCAGGGTAGAGGACTATTGATTGGGGTTTCCTGAGCATAGCCTCTCCAGTTTTCCTTCTTACAGTCTGAGAATTGGAAAGAACTCTGCAAAGAAGAGAGTACCCTTCTTCCTACTCTCTCCGTGGGCAGCCTAGAAACCAAAAAGCAGCCCTTACATTCCATAGTGTGGACCCGGTGGTGCTCCTCAACCTTGGGACCAGCCTCTTTGGGGTGTCATAAGATGGGCCCTAACTTTGGAGTTATATGGGAGTTGGTTCTGATCCCAGTTGAGCCACTTTCTATATATGTGACATGCAGCAAGTTACTTGTTTCATCAGGCATTCTGTGCTGATAATAAAACCACTTCACAGATTTGGTTCCGGGAACAGAATAAAATAATATACTAGACAAGCCTGGAGCTGTGCCCAGAAGCTAAATCCATGAGAGTTTTATCCCTTCCACATGGTTTGGCTTTTGTTTGCAGGAAATAGATTCCCGTCACACACACATTTAACTTATGTGAACTCAGCTCTACACACTTGGTGAGAGAGCGGGAAAGAATGATAATTTCAGCAGCCAATTCTGCCCACAAGTCTTCTCAGCAAAAATTATGCCTTCTAGTGAGCAGGAGATAGAAGGTATAACTCTGCCAAGGCCTTAGTCAGTCACGGCTCCCCCTGCCCTCTCACCCTCCATGCTCAGGGTCATTCAGGAGTAATTCAGACTCTGCTCTTAGAATCTAACCCCACTTAAGATAGAACTTCATTTTATAGTCAAAGTTAAGAGGATGAGTATTGGGGTCAGAGCTGGGTTCACTTGTTGACTGGGTGGCCTTGAAAATTACTTGCCCTCAGTCACCTCATCTGTCCAGTGGGTGCAGTTTAGGCCATCTGCTCAGAGGGCTGTTGTGAGGATTAAATGAGGTCACGTGAAAATGCTTATTAGCACAGCAGGCACTTCACAAGGTGGTTATTATTACTATTATTGCTGGTGTCCTTTTCTTGCCTGCCCATGCCCAGTGGCTTTTTCAAATTGTAGACCACAGTCTGAAGGTCCCTTCTCCTTTCTCTGTTCCTCCTCTCTCTCAGAACTTTCCCCAGGCCTCCTGGATTCTCTGGCACTTCTTACCTCCCGGTGACCCATTCCTCCCTGATCTGCCACTTGCATTAGACATTGACTTGGGCCTAGAAAGAATGGGTAACCATAACTCCCACATGATTAAACTGTTCAGACTCTCAGCTGAAGGGATATCGTTACATGGACAATGCAGCTGATGAGCTCTTCCCTCTCCTTCCTAGGAAAGCAGACAGATATGCTAACCTAATTAGGAGCTAAAAATCTCAGTTAAGATTGTTCTCAGGTGTTATAGAGAACGTCATGCCTCCTATTAATTAGAACTATGAACTATGACCTGGTCTTAACTCTCCTTCTAGATGAGTGCAAGCTACACTCCTCTTCTTTCCCCAGGTGTTTTTTACAGGCCAGATACTTGTCTCTGTCCAGATAATTGCTCTCCCTCTAAGGGGACTCTGAGTCACGGGGTGGTGCAAATGGTTAAGTGCTCAACTACTAGCCAAAATGTTGGTTGTTCAAACCCACCCAGAGGCACCTTGGGAGAGAGTCCTGGCGATCTACTTCTGGAAGGTCACAGCATTGAAAACCCTATGGAGCAGTTCTACTCTGTACACATGGGGTTGCCATGAGTCGGAATCGCTTGACAGTAACCAACAACAACAAAGGGGCCTCTACCTGTGCTCAGGCTTCCCCTGAAGACAGGAGTGAGAGAGTGATGTGATAAGGTCCCCTTTCCCTTTTAGAGAGAGAAAAATGACTTACCTAATTCTCCCTATCCCCACATACAGACCCAGGGAATTAGGTAATTCATTTTAACTCAATAAATAATCTATTGTTCACTCTGTGTGCACAGGAAATGTGCTAGGCCCTGAATGTATAGACTGATAAAGGCGTAGTTCCTGACTATGACTAGGGGAGACGTACAGTTAAAAATCAACTACACTATAGAATAATTTAGTCTGCACAGAAGGGATCACAAAGGGGCAGGGAATGATTGAAGTCAGCCTGAGAAAGTGGTTTCAAGGAAGCCTTTCCATTCAGGTGGCACCTGATGAATAAGGATGAATGTGAGTTTAACAGGTAGATGGGAAGTCAGGAGCCAGGCAAGGCCACGATAGTATAGTTAATGCCCGGATGCGTGAAACCCCATTGTGTATTAAGGGGCACACAGGTGGCTCAGGATGTAGGTAAAGTGCATAGGATAGGGGGATGGATGAAGCTGGGGGGATAAGCAAGGTTGGATCACAAGGGGCTCCTTATATGATGCTAAGGAATTAGCAAAGAAGGGTGGGAAGCCAGGGAAAGATTTCAGTCTGGAATACAACATTCTAGGATAAGAGAAATGTCCTATATCTGCATTGTCCAATAGAGTAGCCACTAGTTATATGTGACTATTAAACACTCAAAGTGTGGCTAGCATGACTGAGGCACTAAATTTTTATTTTAATTAAATTTAAATGTAAATAACCACACAGGCTAGTAGCTATCATATTGGAAGTATAGCTATCAGTGGATCATCTGACAGCTGTGTGAAGGATGGTTGCTTTACTAACATTAAATAAAAATTTTTGTACATTTTGTTATATTTTACCTTGTCTTCTCAAGCTGACCTTTGAAATCTTCATTCAGGTCTTTTATTTAATCATTTCTTCTGTTTACTTTAGCTACATTGCACTCAAGAGCAAGTTTCAGAGTCTCTTCTGACATCCATTTTGATCTTTTCTTTCCTGTCTTTTTAGTGACCTTTTACTTTATGTATGGTATCCTTGATGTCGTTCCACAACTCTTCTGGTCTTTGGTCGTTTGTGTTCAGTGTATCAAATCTATTCTTGAGATGGTCTCTAAACTCAGGCAGGATATATTTAAGATCGTACTTTGGCTCTCTTGGACTTGCTTTGATTTTCTTCAGCTTCAAATTGAATTTGAATATGAGCAACTGATGGTAGGCACAGAACCTGGCAATGTTTTGTTCTCTTATACATAAGGTCACTATGAGTCGGAGCTGACTTGATGGCACCTAACAATACCAACATTCAATAAAAATGCTTATACTATGTATGCATTCGAAAGCTGTACAATGAATAAGGAAGACTGAAGAAGAATTGATGCCCTTGAATTGTGGTGTTGGCGAAGAATATTGAATACACCATGGACTGCCAGAAGAACAAACAAATCTGTCTTGGAAGAAGTACAACCAGAATGGTCCTTG